TATTTTCTAGTCATGTAGCCTGATTTGGAGCCTTTTTTGCTGAGAAGGCAAAAACATTTTCTAATCTATTTGGCAACCACATGGTAAAGTAGCGGGCCCACCAAAACATGAAAGGTCTTCATTAATAATATATGGAATAGGAACTCTCATATTTCATTACTGCTTTCTTATTAACATAACATTAATAATCTGTTTCTGTTTTAAGAATTCATGAGCACGAAAGCTTGGTATATTAAGTTATGCCTCAAATTAGATACATTAAACAGTGACACCCATGATATCATGAAAGAAATGTAGAACTGAGAAAATCAATTTTAAATTAAAATAAAACCATTCTCTGTCATATGCTTCAATTTTCAAAGCAGCTGCTCTTTTAGATTAGTACTGACATGACCTCACTATCAGAGGTCCAAAGTTAAGTGCAGGCACCCCAGCCCCTTCCTGCCCGACACGCATTGCAAGTAGAGTTGCTCCAATTTCTTCTCTTGCATATGGGGAGGGCAGGGGGCACAACGGGAGGTGAGGGAGTGGGCGCTGGGGGAGTGGCAGGCTGAGTGGCTCTACAGTTCATTGTCATATCGCTATATGAGTGAGGCACCAGGGATGGTAAGACTGAGCTGTGTCTTCATAAAAGTCATAAAAGCTTGGAACTGGAAGATCTCTCAGAAACCAGCTCATCAACCATTTCCCAAGGTATGATCCAAGGACCTTAGTTCTTTAAGATGGCTGTCTCTCTAGACATACACACACCCACACAAACGGTTCCATGGTTCATCAAGTCTGAGAAACTGCACATTCTACACACGTCTTGGACTGCCATAATGGCCTGGGCACTCTAAAGCTTCTGTGAGCTCCTAGAGTACAAAATACCCATTTATCAACCGTTACCAAGTATTCCCCAAGCTTCCTCAGGCATGGCACTCTTTGTATAATATTTATCTACACACGTCTTGGACTGCCATAATGGCCTGGGCACTCTAAAGCTTCTGTGAGCTCCTAGAGTACAAAATACCCATTTATCAACCGTTACCAAGTATTCCCCAAGCTTCCTCAGGCATGGCACTCTTTGTATAATATTTATGTATAATGGACAATGAGCAACCTTAACTAAGTCAACCTCCTCATTGAAATTAATAAGGAAGAGGAAATTGAGGCCCAAGAAAAGTGGTTGACTTGCTGAACAGAACAAGAGGTAGAGACTGAGTGGAGAACATAATTCAGGTCTTCTGATTCTTAGATCTGTATTACTGCCTTTCAGAGAAATTTCTCTCTCATTCACCAGTGTATCCAGACCTATCATATACCAAACATGGTGGCAGACACTAAGAACCCAAAGATTAAAAGGGATACATAGTCCTGGCTTCAGGAAGTTCATAATCCAGAGCTGCAGAAAGATATGGAAACACGCTAATCATGCTACAACATGGGAAGAACCCTGAAGAGCCTGCCGTGAGAGTCCACAAAAAAAGTATGACTAATCCCTTTGGAGTTAGGAGAGTTGTCATATCAGAAGTGACGTTGGCATGGGGTTGAAGGGTGACTACAGTTAACCTCAGAATGCTTTTTATCTCTCTCAGTCCCTTTGTAAAAAATTCTAACAATAGCTCCCTTGTAAGGGGTAATTGTTTGCATAAATCCATGCTGGTGCCACATGATTCTGTCACCTGACTGCACCAGGATCAGGGACCCAGAGCAGCCAACCTACAGGCTGGCCAATACCCTACAGGAGGGTCTAGGGAGCACTCTTTAATAGAACTGTGTAAAATGATGGACATTTTTTATTTGGCACTATTCAATATGGTAGTCACCAATCTCATGTAGCTTCTGAACACTTGTAATACAGCTACTGAATATGGCTATTCAGTGAAAAACTGGATATTTGTATTTTGATTAAAAATTAAATTTAAACAGTCACATGTGCAGTTGGCTACCACATTGGACAGCACAGTTTTAGACCAATGAATATGTTCACTTTGTGAGTCCAATATAAAATATAAGTTGGTTTAGATTTATGACTTTATGGTGCAGTCTGAGTTTATAAGTCACATGGGAGCATTCAAGAGAGTTATCAGATTATAGAGTTTAATTATACTTAGAAATTTATTTAAATACATGGGAAAATATATTTGTTCATTAGAGAACTGAAAGACTTAAAAGAGAATTGATTCAAGGATTTGAAAACAGTCAAGCCCTCTGGTCACAATGAAATTAGCTAGACATCAATAATGAAAACTAGCAAGCCAAAAATTTTCTGAAAATTTAACAGTTCATTTATGAACAGCCCACACATCAAAGAAATCACTCAGAAATTAGAAAATATTTTTGAAGATAATGAAGATAAAGCATATCAAAACTTGTATTATGCAGCTAGAGCAGTGCTTAGAGGATATTTATAGCCTTAATGTAAGTATTAGAAAAGAAAAAAGGTTGAAAACCAATGATCTGAGCCTTTCAAATAGCAAGAAAAAGAAAAGTGAAAGAGAAAGAAGAAGGAAAATAATAAAAGCAGAAATAATGAAACAGCAAATGAAAGCAGCAAGTCCAAAAATTGATGTTTTGTAAAGATTAATGATTCTTAAACCCCTCAAAAGACTAACCAGGAAAAGATAACAATATATTATTTTATACAAGCACTTAAAACTTATGGAAAGGTAACAGAATTGTAAAAGCCACCTGCATAAAAGTGATTAATAAAAATTTGGGAACTTATAAATAGAAAAATACGATCTGTCTATGAGATGACAGCTTAAGGAGCACTAGGCTTCTTAAAATTCATATATGAAATTATAACCCCCCAGGTGGGTGGTATCAGGAGGCAGAACCTTTGGGAGGTGATTAGTTCAGAGCAGAGCCTTCATGAACTGCATTAGTGCCCTCATAAAAGGGTCCCAGGAAAGCCCCCTCCACTCTTCTGCCAACGAAGGTTACAGTGAGAAGAGAGCATCTAGAGGGAAGCAGCCTCTCACCAGATACCCACTCCGCCAGCATGCCATGATCTGAACTTCCAGCCTATAGAATGGTGAAAAATAAATGTTTGTTGCTCATAAACCACCCAGTCTGTGGTATTTTTCTTATAGCATCCCTAACAGACTAAGACAGCATTATAACTTCAATGCTTAAAATATAAACTTTGTAAAACCGAAACCAAACTTCTCCCTGAGTAATCTCACAATGACCACGCTGGCTTCCATGGCCACGACGCAGGGCCAAGCTGAGGCTGAGCTGTCACGACTGCAGAGAGCACAGTGGAGTGTTGGTCACAGCATGCTGGTGGGCCCCATCCACTCACAGGCCATTTCCCCAGCCTTACTGAGATGTAACTGATATAGCATCGTATATGTTTGAGGTGTACAATGTGATTATTTGATACATGTGTGTATTATGAAATGATTCCTGCCATGGAGAGGTTAGTTAACACCTCTATCACCTCACATAATTACTTTTTTTAAATTGTGGAGAGAACATTTAAGATCTATTCTCTTAGCAACTTCCAAGTATACAATACAGTCTTTTTAACTATAGTCACCGTGCTATTCATTAGGTCCCCAGGACTAATTCATCTTATAACTCTAAATTTGTACCCTTTGACCAACGTCTCCCCAATTCCCCTCCCTCCTGGTCCCTGACAACCATCATTCTTTCTCTTTACCTATGAATTCAGCTTTTTTAGATTCCACATGTAAGTGAGATCATACAGTTTTTGTTTTTCTCTAGCCTCAACTATTTTACTTAGCATAATGCCCTCAAGATCCATCCATGTTGCTGCAGGTGGCAGGATTTCCTTTTTTTATAGCTGAATAATATTCCATTTTGTATGTAGGCATATGTGTGTGTGTCTGTGTGTGTGTGACACACACGGACACACAGACACACACATACCACATTTTCTTACCTATTTCCCCACTGATGAACACTTAGGTCGTTTCCAAACCTTGGCTACATTAACAGGCCTTTTGACACCAGAAACAGGGAGAATCTAGGAACCAGAGCTTGAGGGTGGATGGCACCTTGCAAATTTCTCAGTGTTGTGAATTACTAAGTTCAAAAGAATAAAGGTTTTTTTTTCCCAATAGGTCCAAAGCTAAGGGATTTCTTTCCTTGAAATGTATATTGAAAGTAGTATAATAGGAGAGCTGGAGACTTTTTTCTTGGTTTTTTGAAGGTTCTCCAAATGAAATTCCAAAGCAGCTACTTTAAACTATATACAAGTTTATATACAAAGAAACAAAGTTTCTTCTTTGTCAGAAACCAACGCAAATCATGTAACAGGATGTGAACATAACTCCCTATGGCAGAGGCCTGACCCTAGTTGGGCATCCTTGAGAGTTCAGAGTCCTATAAATTTTCATAAAGTGGTGGTCTTCAAAGGTTTTTGCTAATATATCACATAACATTTATTTTGAAAAGCTATGTATTGCCTTTGCTTGACAAACATTTATTTGTAACTGACATCTAAACTTTCATCATCAATTTAAATAGTAGCCAGGAATACAATTTCCACCATACAATAAGATCTGAACTTTAACAAAAATAAACTTGTTTTATTTATTTTAGAACAGTTTCAGATTTAAGAAAAACTGTAAAGAGAATACAGAGTTTCCATGCACCTCATACCCAGTTTCCCCTATTGTCAACATCTTACATTAGCAGGATATATCTGTTATAATTAACAAAACAATATTGATACATTATTATCAACTAAAGTCCATACTTCATTCAGATTTCTTGGGTTTTTACTTAATGTCTTTTTCATGTTCCAGGATCCCATCCTGACTTGTCGCTTTACATTTAGTTGTTATGTCTCCTTGGGCTCCTCTTGGTGGTGCCAATTTCCTAGGCATTCCTTGTTTTTGATGACCTTGACAGTTTTGAGGAGCACTGGTCATGTCTCTGAGTTGGGATTTGTGTGATGTTTCCTCAAGATTAGATTGGGGTTGTGAGTTTTGGGGAGGAAAACCAGAGAGGACAGTGTCATTTTCATCACCTACATAGGAGTACATAGTATCAATATGATTTATCACTATGAATATTGACCTTAATCACCTGGCTGAGGTAGTCATTCTGTTGGAGAGAAGTTTTCAAGTCTGTTGGGTAAATATGGAGCATGACTGCTGATCACATGGTAAGACTACACCTAGCTATCTCTCAAAATGTACCATTTTGCATTCCCACCAGCAATTAATGACAGTAGAAATTAATGAACTGAAAGAAAATCTGAGAGAGGAAGAGAACAGAGAATGAAAAACATATCAGATAATATCATCAGTATAACACATGCTTAGCAGGAGTCTGAGAGGACATTCTCTTCAAGAAGGTGGTAAAAGATGTATTTGAAAAGATAATGGCTAAGAAGTTTCCCTATTTGTGAAAGACATAGAGTATCATGGAATTTTGGTTTCTATTTGTAGTAAGATCTCTTTGTATCAAAATCTGTTAATATGAGTCTGGATAAGCAGGTCAGATTGAATCCTGGGTGGTCCAATTCTATTTATGGATGTGAGAGAGGTAGCAGAAATGAAGGAAAGAAAGAAACAATAAGAGAAGCAACGGAGAAAGAGGAAATGGAGGGAAGGAAAGAAAGGGGGGAAAGACAGAAATGAACAAATATCATCCCACCAGCCGTCCAATCCAAGCAGCGGTAGGGAAAGCTTGGTAAAGAAATGGACTCAAGCATTACTTCCGTGTTTGATTAGAAACATCATTTAAAAGCAAGCTTAGTTTCTTTCTTTAAAATAAGATGACTAAACCTGGCTTCTACTTTAGAGTAACTGTTATTATCATATTTGTGATGTATTTCCAGATCCTTTAGAGATTTTTTTCTATAAATTCAATATTATTGAAATTATTCTTCCTAAAGTCAGGTTTCTAAACCCAACTGTTTTGCTCCCCTGTGAAGTTTTTTTTCTAAAGATCAGTAAACCATAAAATAGAGAGTGTACTTGGACTTCAGTTTATGTTTTCATATAAATCAGTCTACATTTTCTGTGAAGTTAATGTTTTTTTTCACATTTCTGAGTATTTTACCAGTATAGCAATCTATGAGAAATTTAGATTGAGTGCTCCATATTTTTATTATGTTAGACTGTTTTAAGCCACTTTTCAATCCATGAGGCCAAGCCAAGTTAAATTTGTTTTGTAAGAAAGGTCACTTTGTGTTATCCTTAAAGCCATTATGTGTTTTAACTGTCTAATTCTGCAGTTCTAAACAGTAACAAGCTGGGAAAAAGGAAAGTATCCAACAGCTTGTTTTATTAATCCTGAATTACAATTCTGTAAATTAAGTGTGAACACCAAGTAGTATGATTGGTGAAAAAATCTGTTTAGAATTTGCACAGGAGCTTCAAAAACACTTCCATTGTCCAGAGCTTTTCTAGAACGACTCTTTGAAAAGTGCCTTTAGAGTCTGCAACCCATTTTAAAAGAGATCATCTCTGATGGGAAATTTTTGTGTTTTGAAAGTGGATTTGATTAATAACCCAATGGAATTTGGGTTAAGCTTGGTGATGTGTAAGATGGGAATTACTATTTAATACCTATTATGCACAATATTCTTGAACTGGGGTGGACAGTGGATTTGAATAAACTCATTTCAGGTCAAACAAAGTGTAAACCATTGAATATGGACCAACGTCATGGATGATGTCCCCACTGGAGGCAATGTAGCGTAACATTTGCGCTCAGTCAGGAGGACAGGTTTGAGCACTGACGCTCTCCACCCACCCCCATCACTCAGTCTGAGCTAAGTCACTTAGACTCTCTGAGACTGTTTCTTCATTTATAAAAAAGGATCACTAATATATATCTCAATGAATTTTCAAGATAAAAGAATTTTTTTAATGCAAAATACATAGCATACTTTCTCTTCCCTTGTCTTCCTTCTGACAACAGCTGTGAGGGGAAAAATATTAATTAGGATGAAAGTGGCCTAATCTGTTTTTCTTAAATCGAATCTTACTGTTCTATGGTTGACTTTCCTATTATCTCATCAGATGTTAGTCCCAAGGTTAATTGCCATTTTGGTGTTTTTAGGCTGAGGGACTGTATGTATGTGCGAGTTACCTTAGTGGTGGGATGGTGTGGTAGAGGTAGTTGTGAAAGATGAAGTGGGACATATAAACTGAGACCAGATCACAGAGGTCTTTGAGTGGCATATCAATGTTTTAGACACTACCCAATAGAAAAGGTGGCTCCTAAAAGTTTTGAGCAGGGAAAAAATAATTTTGTCTGTGCTTTGGGAAGATAACTGACATGCTAGACTACATTTCTTGACAGTAGGGTCTGGTTCTTACTTATCAGCACATCCTTTACTCATCTTTATATTGATGAATAGAAGAATGAAGCTGAATGGAAGGATGGACTAAGAACATGGGTAGGGAGATCATGATGGGATGGAAGAAAATGTCATGGAAATTTTTGCAGACACAGACTCAAAGGACACAGTGATCAACTGGATGTCATAGCAAAGTGAGATGGAGAAGATTTGAAAAGAATCTGAGACAGCTGGCTTGGATGACAGCTTGGGATGGGGGCCGGGTGGTTGCCATTAACAGAAATAGAAAACACAGAATGAGCAACTAATTTTGAAAATTACAAGAAACAATGAATGTGATTTTAGTCTAATGAGTTTGTACTGAGGTGAAAATGCCCAACAAGCAAATGAAAACAGAGGTCTGGGGCTGAGAAGAGATCAAGACTAAAGATAAAGATTTGTTTGTGGAGCCATATCCACAAAGGTGATAACTGAAGTCTTGGGAGTGGATGAAATTATCCTTGGAGAATATATTGATGGAGAAGATTGGCCGATTAGAAGACCTTGGAGAATACTAACACTTAAGGGATGGTTGTTGGAGAGAAAACAGAAAATAGTAGGAAAAAATGGGCACAGAAATACTAAAAGGAAGCAACGACACGGAGGCTAAAGAGAGAAGGCTCCCCTCCCCCCTCCAGAGATGGGACAAGTGCAATGAGGTCTGAGTGAGGCTGGTGGGTTGGCCTGCAGCAGATCATCGGGGATCTCTTGGAGAGCGACTGCCGTGGAGCAAGACTGGAGCTGATCCCAGTGAGGGGTCAAGTAGACGCAGGGGTATTGGAGGGACAAGTGGTAATGGCTTCATCTTCCATCTCCAACTATTTCTTCCTACTCCCCTTAAAAGACTTTTCTCCACTGCCCCAGTAAATGTTGATGTTACCTAGGACTCTGTCCTTGGCTCTATGCTTGTAACAGTTAGGGTTCTCTTGGTTTCAAATAACAGAAGGCAACTCCAGCTGGCTTGAGCAGAAAGATTTATTGGAAGGATACAAGGTTACCTCATAGGACCCCAGAAGGTTATGACTGGGCTTTGCACACAAGCTTTAACCAGAAATCAAGTACCACAGGGTTTCTCCAGCTTCTTTCCTGTTCCTCTCTTGGTGTCTATTTCATTTTCTGCTCTCATTACAAACCAGCTGCCTCAGTGTCTCCGGCTATGGTGGAAAACATGTCTGCCACTTGCTCCTGAGTCACTCAGCCACTCAGAGGAGCACTGCCATGTCTCCTTTTTGATGTCTTCCAAGGGGAGAGACTGAGTCGGTCAACTTGGATAGATGCCCACCCTTGGGCGATTCAACTGAGGGCAGAGCAACAAGGTCCCACACCGCATAGACGGCAGCACGTGACTTGGAGATGAGGGTGGGGTCTGGGACCTGGAAGCGAGAAGCTGGGGGAAGCTTACAGGATGATGATGTGGACTGGGGTCTAGGGGTAGGTGACATAGCTGCATCTCATCTCCCTTCTTCGTTCTTTGCTCAGACAGCCTGGGCGTTCTGACACAGCAAATAATAGTCGTGCTCTCCCTTCTGGACTAGGTACCAGCAATTTGTTTTCTTCTAAGAAAGAAAATGGAATGGCTGTCCAGCTCTTAGCAGATTCTCCTCCCTGTGACCAGCCCTCTGTATTCCCGGGCGAGTGTCCACTGGCCATGTCTGATCCCTCTAGGTGAACGAGAGTTGACTGATTCGGGGGCCAACCAGAGCCTCTTTCTGGGGTCTCTGGACTTGGAACTGGACAGAGCATGGGCCAGTTCATTTTCAGAATGCTGTGAGGCTGACGGTGACTAAGGGACAGAGGCAGAGTCTGGAGGTACTTGCATTGCTAGTTCTAGTTATCCTGGACACTCGGCCACTCCACTGCCCTCCCCATGTTAGATTCCATAAGCTGGCTCAGTATTTTCCAGTAAGTTCCTTTTGCTTTAAAGCGAGTTTGGTAAGTTTCTGTCACTGAAACCAAAAGAGCCTGCACAACCCCGGGTCAAGGGAGTTGCCCAATAACTATTCCCAGCCTGGTCTCTTGCCTCCCACGTCAATTTTCTCATGTCATGTTTCCCCGGAGAGATGAGGGCCAAATAGTGACTGCAATACAAGGTTCTGGTGTTCTGGCAATTACTGAAATACTGACACTCTATTGGTGGTTTACTCTAATTTTGATATTTTAAAAATTAAAATCAGTATCACTTATGTATTGAGATGAGGATCAATGACTCAACTGTTCAATTTAGGATGAAAAGACTTGCTGAACAAAACTCAACCCAAAGTCAGAAAGGGCTTTTCATCAGCTAGAACAATTTGTACTAAAACTCACATGATACTCAATGATACCATTGATCCAATCTGTTTTTGAAATAATATGTCATTTGGACCTCTTAATGATTTTCAAAGTTTTCTTCATTTTATATGATGTTCGGCCTGCTAACTTTTAAATAAGACTTTATTTCTTCACATACTTTTTATCTTGGAGTAGTTTTAGATGTTCAGAAAAATTGTGAAGATAGTAAAGTTTCCATGGACTCTTCACTCAACTTCCCCTATTATTAACATTTTATATGAATAGGGTACATCTGTCACAATTAATGAGCCAATACTGATATAACATTATTAACTAAAGTCCACACTTTATTAATGAGTGTTTACCTACTGTCCTTTTTTTCTATTCCAGGATTCCACCTAGAAGATCAAATCACATTTAGTTGTTATGTCTCCTTAGGTTCCTCTGATTTATGGCAGGTCAAGACTTTAGCTTTATTACATTTATCTGCTAATAATTTGTGTTAGAATGATGCTTGCTTAATGATTCTATTTTACAAATTTGTATTTTTACCTCATCTTTAAATGTTTAATGCTTTTAAAATTTGAATTATATTAGGTGCTTTCCTAATGTTAATGTTATGACTGCTGAACACTTTCAGATAAAATATTAATATTGATACCAGTACCATTTAAAATAAGTGCTGCATGTCCAGTGTCACAATTTTTGTTCCAGTACAGCAGTCAGTGGATCCCAGGTGTGGACAGGCAGCACATGAACATGAACATAGTTGGCTAAGGCTCCTGGTGCAGGCAGAGCCACGGAACCAGGGAAAGGGCAGTAGAGCACAGCTGGGTAGCCCAGAGCTTGTGGCTCTGCTGCAGGAACCCCAGGCCCAGGCCGTGCTCAGGATTCTGTAAGGCTTTTGCCCCAGACATCCTTACTGCACTGTGTTCTTCTGTCTACAGCTGGCAATGACTTACTGTGCCAGCCAATCTGCTTTCTTTGTCTGGTATAGCTAGTGCCCTGGGGCCATTTTTCAATGGTGATTTTGATTCTGAGTACATTATCTTAGAGAAATCTTAGGCTTTGTGTTCCCAAGGCTTTCTCATTGTTTGGGCCACTGTAGGCACTCAGTACTATTATTTGTTCAATCACAGTTGAATGCATGCAGGAAACTGGCACAGTTGGCCAGCAAAAGTGATTCCTCTCCAGACATTAGGAACTGATGAGAACCAGGAAGCCTGCAGGTGGGTGGGGAGGACTAAGAAGTGAGTGGTGCACTCCAGCCTGCAGTGTAGGATGGTAGTGGGGGTTGAGGGTAAAGAAGAGGTGTTGGGGGCCACCCCAGTGGTTATGCCAGCAACAGTAGCCTGATTGTGGGCTGCTGGTCACATGGAAGGAGCTACCTGTAACCACCACCTCTGGGATGCTGCTATGCAAGTAATGATCAGCATCTGAAAACCATGATGAAGAGTTTAATCACAAGTATGCAGCATTATGCCATTAGGAGAGAGGACTTTGATATATGGATACATTACAATCTATTCGTCTCACCAGAAGTTGCCAAAAGCAGCCACAACAGTTAGGCTTCCTTTTGTCCATGCTGCATAGCATATTCAAAGTCTTTAAAGCTGACGTGACCATCCGAGTCTTGATCTACTTCCCTGGAAAATGAAACAAAATGTTATCTACAGGTTATTTTCATCACACTTTTATGTATCAAACACATATCAGAATCTTTACTTCTTTGCTTGTCTGTGCATGAGAAGCACCTATTTTATCTACTTAAAGGCTAAGGTTGATGCCTTTTTTCCCCTTACATTGGCAATACCTAAAGGGAAAGGAAAGGAAAAGTATTCATTGAAACCTACAGAAATAATATATTCAGCACATTACAGGAATGAAGCCAAGTGCACAGGTTATAAAAGAAAAGCAGGAATGACGGTCTTCCTAGTCATCTTACAAATTCTTTCTGTGGTATATGCCAATAAATACATGTGTATTCCACAACAGAAATGTGGAAAAACCAAGAGATAAGAAAAATATAGGAACAATGACTGACCTCCTGCATCACACCAGCTTTATATTCCTTGTCTCAGTGAATGTGTGCCCCGAAGCTGGCATGGGTCCATCTTACAGAGACATTGAGCTAAAATCGCCTCAGCAGTTTCACAAGATCATGCTGCTGGTAAGTAGCAGACCTGGACCCAAATCAGGATCACTAAATTTCAAAACCAGGGCTCTATACATACTAATTTATACATTACCCTCCTATGTAAGTAGAATATTCCAGAAAGAAGTGGTTGTATTGCATTCTCAAGTGGCCAGTCTAGCTCCTGTTTTCACTGGCTTCATTCATGGCCTCAAAAGTTCTGTTAAATCCTCACAAACACCTGATAAGCTTTTCTGACTCCTATGAATGGTGAAGATGTGAGCCTCTGGCTGGTCAACTGGGGGTGTGGGTGGCCTTAGCAGGTTGGCCCTGTGTGTCCCTAGGACTGTTGAGACAGGACATTGCTCCTTAACAGGGAGCAGAGAAATGGTACCCACTCCACATGGGTAAGATGACACATGACAGAAGGACAAAATCATGGCATAAGCAACACATTCAGCTATTACTAGTAAAAGTAATGTTTATTTAAAAAGTGTGCTTGAAAGGATAACTGATGAGTATTGGTCACAATTCCTCTTTGGGGGGCCTTCTAAGACAATGCATTACATGCCTTGTATGGCACTTTTGTGGTTGATGCAGATTATGTTTTGTTGAAACAAATGGAATCAACCATGACAGAGGGCTTTTTTTAAGCAACGGCTGGTCCAAGTAACAGAGCCACTAATCACTGTAATAGTTTTAAAGCAGGCTTTTAAAATATTGAATTCTAAAATAAACTTTCTGAATTTTTCATGCCAAAGTCTCTGAAGTCTGTAATGGTTCTGGATAGTGATGATAATTTCTCATTCTTTTGAAGTAGAGAAAAATCCCTACTTTTCTGCCCCAGGGCAAAACCATGTTGCAGTGTGTTAGTGTAAAATGACTGCAGACCGCGGACACCATTATTCTTGTTACTTCTTTTGGTAAAATGTACATGACGATTTCATGCTATATAGGACCAAAAGCAGAATGTCAGATCTCTTCTAAAGGATTAGAAATAATCAGCATCACATGTTAGACTGCAGAATATAAATCATCCCTTTTATTATATTAGATAATCGAAGATTCTTAATATTGCCTAAGTATTTTTCCCCAAGGAATTAGATTAGATAAATGGCCTTTTTTCTTTCCACTCTGAACTGGTATGGTTTGAACTATAAATTTCAGAGGGTGAGTTAAGAGGATAACCTAGAAAGTAATGTTTTGAATAAACTGCTTCTGATAATATTTTTTAGTGTGTTTATTCATTTATTGAGATGCTGAATACCTATAGAAGAGGGAATCCCTTTGTCTGATTTTTTCAGTAAATAACCTTCATTGTAATTGCATTTAACTTCTTATTTTTCTTGCTTCCCATCATAAAATGAACACAGTACAACCAAGAGGTGTTAAAATGGAAACGTTTATTTGTAAGATTTGGAGTGGCATTTTATTCATATAATGAATGAATGCCATGTTCAGACTTAGAATGAGACATGGTAATAAAATACTTTCTTCCGCACTGCCTATGTGTATATATATATATATATGCGCAGGTCTAGTCATCTCAAGGAAACTGAAGAGGAAATTCGCATTTCAGCGCTATCATTTTAAAAGTTAAAATACACTGGTTTTCACTGCAGACAGAATTATTCTGAAGAAGGCTGGTTTCATAGCACCCACACTCAGATCACTGTGGGATGGAGGAGCTGATGTGGCTTGTGGGCAGGCTTACTGGTGTGCTGAGGAGGTGAAGAAAATATCATGGGGTGAAAAGTTTTACTGCTTCTGTTCACAACAGTCAACCTTAACAGGAGTTCCACTCTAGTTGTGAAAGCAGAATGTGCTGTTTCGGTGTCACCAACATACATTTCACACTAACTATTCCACCACTCCTCTCCCAGACTAGAAATAAACACAAGAAGGGCAAGAACTTTCTCATTTTCTGCTGTGTCCCCCACCCGTTGACAGCAGACAATAAATGTTCACAGAGTGAATGAGTTTGTGGAATAAACGAATCTGGGGGAACAGCTAGTAACATTATGGAGTATCTCCTACCTCCCAGGAGGTACTGGGTGATTGAAGAAACAGCATATCTTCACTGCTTTTATGGAGTCTAAAAACTAGCCAGAGAAATGATAATACACACTGAAGAAGGCATCTGGGAGCCATCACTCAGGGACCCATAAGTAACAGGCAGTTATGGTCTCCATGCCCACCTGCATCCCCTAAGCACAAACTAGGGACCAGAGAGACTAGGTGAGAGATGAACTCTGGAAAATGAGGCTGCAGAGGAGACCATGGATGGAAGGAACCAACTGAGTGCCCAGCTGAACGACTTGGAGATAAAGAGCAAGAAATTGGAAACTGAGGCAGAACACTGGACACATCTGAGTCTAATCTGCCCGATAGTCAAGCCCCAACACTTCAATCCAGTTAAGCAGCTGCTCTTTTACCAGACTTATGGCTAGAGATAGAGACATATCTATCTACAGACTTATTTCAGAACTGGCTTTTCAAGGGAATTAACAAAGCTCACACAGATGTATGAGAGGAAAATAAACTTCTGTTAACAACAACTGCTTTCCAGAAATGCAGGTCCAGTTAAACTAAAGGCTTTGGGGTTTGCTTATTTTTGAGATGCAAGGGGGTGACCTGGAATGCACTCGAGAGAGCAGAACTGCCCTGTGTCAGTCTGAACTTAACCATCTGGGTGGAAGGGAATGACAGACAAGATGAGAGAGCAGAAAGAAGGGGTGACTGGGGAGGAGTGAGGCTGGGATGCTGTATGAAGGGAAGTGGCCCACGGAAAAGTCCCCAGTGCTGCAGCCACCGGAAGTCCTCTCATTAACGACTGCATTTACTTGTGTGCACTTCCAACTTGTGTGACCAGATATAACCTCTACTGTCTTCGCCAAGGGGTGTGACAGGCACACACACTCTGGGGGGGATTGCATGTTTGGGGGTGTTGACTCTGTTGACTCTGTGTGGACGTAGGGGCTGAAGACTGAATTAGGAGATGAGCTCCATCTGAGCAGGTACAGGAGAGAGCAGGAAAAGTAAGTGGGGAGCGGTAAGATGATGCATCAACTGAATTAATTCAGAGAAATGAGAACTAAGAGCCATAAGCCTTCCAGAAATCTGCAAAAATCTTAGGAAGTGATTTAAAATTCCACGGGGTGTGGAATGGGGGTTCCAGGCCATACTACTGCGACATGGAAGACCCAGGTTGACACTGGAATACACTGAGAATTTCAGGCAGGACTAGATTCTGCATTCAGTTGAGTTCTGACAGTTTTCATATCTTGTAAAATACAAACATTTCTGACTCATCATAGAAGTGGCCATAAATAGTTTCATCAGAATGAGCTTTAGCATTTGTCTCTTTTACATCCGGCTTAGTTAAGTAAGAGCATTTGTTCTTTCCTTTTTGTGATGCTGGGGGGACTTCCACAGCCCAAACTAGATGTGGTCCCCTGCCTTAGGGGCTCAGTGAACCCCACCTTGAAGGAGCAGCGTGTTCCACTGTGAATCTTTTATTCAGATAGGCCACGCAGTTGCCGTAATACATTCTGAAGAGAAACACAGATTTTTAAAATTTAAATATTTATATAAATTTTTAAATTAAAACATTTTTTAATTAAAAAAATACATAACTAGTCTCTCTCCCAAGTAGTAAATGTCTCTTTAGGAAAATATTTACATCATAACAATTTCTTGTAATGATGTAAAGGTAGTTATTTCTTGGAAAGTAGTTTTCATTGTAAAATAATTTGAGAGTACCTCATTGTCGGGTCCCCAAAGGCAGATGTCAGACTGGAATATGTACTTTTGCCCAAATTACTTAAAAAAAGAAGAAGAAGAAGAAACAAACAGGAATGGTTTCATTTTACTACACTGAAACAAAAGAACTAATAATATTAAATTATTAAATCTGTATTTAATAAATTATCTCTATTAAAATGATATAAAGACTATAAAGATGACAGTTTAAAGTAGAAACAAGAAAACTAACTAATACACATTAAAATTTCAACCATTAACATCTATATTCATTTGCACAGAAGTTGAAAGATAAAAGCTAAACAGAAACTTGTCTTATAGGTTATTTTTGTCTTAAAATATTCCTTAATATTATGAATATCTTTTTCAACTGAAGGAATATTCTTTTTTTAGTCCCTTATTTCACAATGTATAAATCCTCAACAATTAGAGCAGGATTTCCAACCTCAGCACTCCTGACATTCAGATAATTCTTGCTGTGAGGCCCGTCCTGTGCACACTGTACGGTGTTTAGCAGCATCCCTGGTTTCTAACCCACCAGATGCTGAGAGTGCCCTCCTTCCACCCTCCCCAGCCATGACAGCCAAAAAATGTCTCCAGGTGTTGCCAGGCATCCCCTGAGGAACAGAGCATCCCTGGTTGAAAACCACTGAGCTAGAGGACACAAGGTTGGAGGAAATTCTCTGGAACATTCCAGATAAATCTGCATTTACTAAAATAATTGCTTTAAAGATTTTTTTTTAAACAAGTGATTTCAGGGGCAGCTGAGGCACACATGTTTCTTGGATGGATTATGCAGATTAATTGCTTCAATATTCTTCCTTGCCGACATTGTGGATTTGAGTCGAGCCCAGAGAAGACCCCACTCGAGAGACAAGCTCTAGGTGGTGATAACAGAGCCAGTGACAGGCCTATCTGTGTTCCCAGCAAATACACTGACAGACAACAATTATTTTGAGTCACAGTGACAGTCACACAGGGTTTTGAAAGTTGACGACATATTTGATTCACCTGAAACATGAAGGAGAAATTTACTGTGGAGGCCAAGATTTAAATGAGAAAAGTTTTCTTCGCAGAATTTTTGGGGTGGGGTGAAAGGAGAGAGCATCTCTTCCTCTTTGATTCTTTACAGAATAATTTAAACTGACGTCAAAACTGCCATTACATTAGGGACAAAGCTGTCATACTGACTGAACAGTGAGTACAAAATTACCCTGCAAGCAAGGAGCCCCTGCCGGGGATGAGAGGCCCAGCAGTAGAAGATGTGATGATGTTGGCTTCTCCCACCAGTGCCTTCTCTGCCGGGGAACCTGCCGGCTACTTCCACAGGCGTGCTTGCCTCTTTGTTGATGAGTCCTGCAGGCTCCACAGCAACTTCCTTGGTAATGTGTTTATTATTAATTTTACCTTTTTAAAGACACGTGTTAAGCAAAGCCATGCAGATGCACAGGAGAGATAAAAGAGACGTGGGGACCGTGTCTGGTGTTTCCTAGGTGCCTCCGTGGCTTCGGCAGTGCGGTGTGTGGCCACCTGCTACTCCAGCCACCTCCAGGGGTGCCTTCCTCACTGGGCTCTGCACACGGACCTCTCACTGTTTTTCCGGCATCACTCTGGCACCCGGGTGTGGCCCTCGCACAGACACTCCCTGGGAGTATGAGAAAAGGAGCTAACACCCCAGAGGGCAGCCCTGGATGGGTGAGGGAATAGGCGTCAGTGGATAACCACTCTCTCCTGGTCCCGCAGGTAGACAACGCTGAGGTCATTCTCCCAGGCCCTTGGACATGCTGCTGGGGTGGAACTCCAGTGCTCACAGAAGCAGCAAGCTTGGCAACAGATGCCAGCACTGGCTTGCTCTCATGCTGTTCCACACTGGCACACCGAGGTGACTTCCCAAACAATCCGCATGTTCATTCCTCATCTAAAGCTCTGCTTTCAGGAAGAACCCAGGCTAGGACACAGTGGAAAGTTTATTTTAAGAGACAAAGTTCTCAAAGGTGTTTAAATTGCCATTAGCAATAGCATGTCACCTCAGACTCTCATTCAGGTGAAAGGGACCTCACTACTTGGAAGAGATTAGAGTGCTCTTCTGTTTGGAAAATGAGTTGTAGAGCAAATTAGATAGTGCCTTTTCAGGAGTGTGCTGAAGTTTGAAGTTCCAGGCAATCAAAATGCCAGAGTTAACTGGAAAATGATAGCAGCAATCTTCTCCTCTCCAATATACATGTCTTATTTAGTAATATTTAAGCCTGCCACAATAAAAAGTATTATTAGGCTTTCAGTGTTCCTTCAGTGTGAGGACAATCTATTCTTGAATATAAGAGCTCTTCTGCTTTTTGGATGTAGAGATACTGCTATGGACAGGCTGTGAGCAGGTGGTGGAATTGGGTGTTTACAATGAACTGTGAAGGGTAAAAGGATGGCCAGACCAGGCCAGAAAAATAGAATGACACAAGCCACTCAAAGCACTGTCCGCATTAGGACCAGGCTCAGCCTTCTAGACTGAAGACACAGTGGGAGTTGGTGGTTACATCCATCCCACCCCATTGTGCTACACTGCAGCTGTGCGATTGGGTGCTGGTTCCCCACCCCAAGATCCAAAAGTAGGCTATGACTGGCCCAAGCCAATTGTTACAATCCCACCTTCCTTACCATAAGTGGCTGGATCAAGGATTGACTGGCCAGTTGGTGCATGGCATCTCGCCATTGGCTACTACTGGTTGGTAAAGACTCATTCAACCATAAGGAGACCTAGGAATTTGCTTCAAGTTGAGAAAGAAGAAACTCTTTCACTGGACAGTTGGGATGCAGAGGTGAGGCCTGATACCACAACCATCCTTTTCCTACCACAAGAGCGTAATCTCTACAGGTCCATGAGCCAATGATGCACTGATCCAAGTATTTATACACATGCTTTTAAATGTCAATTATCAGCCAAGAATGGAGTTATATGCAGTGAGAGGGAGAGTCAGAAGAACAGCATAGTGAGCTGGAGCCTAATCAACCAGGTCTAAAGCATGCTCTGTGTCACCTGATCCAATAAATTCCCTGGGTTTTGTAAGGAACTCTGAAATGGATTTTTTTGTTACTTGCAAATTAAAGCATCCTGACATACAAGGTATACCATATGAAATCTTTTTTAAACCTTGCAGCATCTGGTAGACATACAGCAGACACTCATGAATACAATATTTTAGAATGATTATTCCATTTTGAAAGGAGCCCTAAAATAATTCAGATTTTCTCTTTAGGTACTATCTCAAGATTCTGGATTATTCTCCATAGTTCTGCATTTTAAAGAAATTACTTTCTAGCTGTATCTAACACAAATGTTTGTTTACAATGCCCTAACTATAACTGGGTGCTGAAGGAGGCTATTGATGGGACCAGAATGTTTTTTTCCCTAAAGAGTGACAGGATGGATTCTCCAGTCCAAGAAATAAAGGAAAAATGGATGCAAAATGCAGTTGTAGTTGGCAAAGGTGATTAACCATAAATAATGATTTTTTCCCTATTAATCAGGTTTTGAAAATGAGGAGTCTTATCTGAAGCTAGAAATATTTTAAAAGGAGGAAACAATGTAATTTTGGTATGCTTGATTATTGACTACTTGTGGCATGTGGATAAATGCAATCAACATATAGACCAAAGTCTATATTTTCTGCAAATAGCTTCATATTCCTTCTGTACCAAGTGTTTTAGCAGAGCTCCTAACAAACTACGGCATGATCTTTTTTCTCAGTTTGAATCTCTGGAAGAGAAATTGTAATATAAGAAAGTAGCACATATCAGACAGCTTTAAGGATAAAGAACAAAAGCCACAGTGAATATCTTTGAACTAATCATAAAAAATCTGGTTCCTATACTTGTGAGTCACTAGATCTTCCATCCTAAAAATGGCAGGGAAGCAGTGTGGTCCAGCAGAAATGGCCCAGCAGTGAACTTTCATCTCCCTAGGCTGTATGACCATGGGGAAGTGCCTTAGCTGCGAAGAAATCTCAGGCTCTTCACTTACCAAGTTGAATACTCAGGTTATGACAGCTAAGATTCTTTACAGCTCTAAACTGATGAATCTAAGCTAGACCCTAAATACAACTGGTATTTTTGTGCACAGAAGTTTAAAAATGCAACCCAACTCGTGACAGCCATTTTGCCTTCAAGATGTAGTAGTGTGAATCTTCAACCCTGTGGACAGTTACAAAGAACCATACACACATATAAATGTAAATGGAAAAAAAAATGATCCTGCCTTTAACAGTGTGAAATATGGAAATAAAACCATTTCTATTTCAAATATATAATCACTTCAGCTGAGATATCTAGTATCATCTTGAACTTGATTATGAGATAAAAGAAGTGGGACAGAGATGGCAATCATTTAATCTCTTAAGAACAGCTATTCTGAAGAGCTTTTCACTCCATGCTCAATAGATTTCTAGCAGGTTACGATCTGGCTAGAAAGAAAGCATAATGATGAGGAAAATTATGTTTTCAAGAACACACGCTTTTATAGTACAAGTCCTTCCACAAAGGAGGCAATAAAATGAACTCTGGCCACTTTAACAGATGGCGTGATGGCTCAGTGCACAGATGTGGCCTCTCTGAAAGCAACAAGTTCATATCCTTGACTGGAGGTTTAGGAATGAGCTGAACTTTCAAGTGTAATGTAGGAAAGATTACATACTTCTAGACAAGAAAGCTGAGTATTAGTGGGTTCAGAAGCTTGGAGAGATGGACTAAAAGAATAAAGCTTAATGAGCTTCATTTTGCTAATGCAACAAATAGACTTGAA